GACGGGGGAAAGTGAGGGATGTAAACTACATCAATAAAAGCGTTCAGACTGTCTTCAGGACAGGGATGCAGCTCAGTGGCAGGGCACTAACTAACCCAGCCAGGCTCTGGCCTTAGTCCCCACCACTGGGAATAGCAATCGTGTGCACTTTGAGACTGTACTGTCATCAAGGGTGTGAGTAAATAATTAGGTAATTATGTTAAAAACCCACAAGGTTGGTATCTAAGATATTACAAATTTCAACTTTTATGATGATCTTCTAGTAATGAAATCAGGAAGGAATAAGTATTAGAAAGGTGAAGAATGGCTTCAAAAAATGTTGAACTGAATCTTTTAAAGCAATTGATTCATCAGTGCTTATGGGAGACAAAAGTGGGCCCCCTTTCTTTGTATAAATACCTAAACAGTTTGATGGTGTGAGGCTCAGCCAGATTTAATCTTCATCTTTTATTAGATCCTAGAATGTTCTACAGACTGAACAGGCTGTAAAAAGAAAGGATTCCTCCTTATTATCTATAACTACCTTTTTCCAAAATACTTGTTGCTTCTATTGAAGTTTCTAATGAATCATAATCTAAATCCAAGTCTCAAATTACTACAAATAAAATTTTAAAGGAGGTGAATCATTGAAATTTTACTATTAGAGTACAGATACAATTTGGATAAACTTAAAAAAATGAAAGCATACTCTTAAAAAAAAATCACATCAAAATACTCCACAAATAAAATTTCTTTATAGCCACCAATAAACTTCAATTCTTATTTTGGACATTTTCTTTGTTCTTGCTCATCCAGACTGAGCCAAAAATTTGTGAAAAACTGCTCAGTTAAAATATACTCAAGTTTTAAACCCCAGACATACCAATTGAGAATACTCTATTTCCTGGAAATAATTGAATTCCTTCAAATATGGATGCTAACTTTATTTTTATTTTTAAATTATCCTATGGAATTGTTTATTTCGTAAGTTAAATCATTTGACTTTATACTCATTTAAATTTTTTAATACTTTGGGTATTGATTGAAAGAATAGAACCATGAATTTAACTACACCTTTGTCGTACTTCTTTAGACCTTTAATTTTCCTGAAGTCCACTTTCTAAGATTATATTATTGTACAGAATTATATAAAGAATTTGAAACTATTTTGTAAGTTTTTTTTAAAGATTAAAAAAAAACAGCTCTATTCACCTTATAGACAAAGGTAAAAAAAAGTTAATGTTTGACCCAATTTAAAAAAAAAAAAAAAGAACCAAAATACTAATGGTCACTTACTAATAGTTAACAAACTACTACCTCTATCCTACTTCCTATTCTCCTTCTCTCCCTTCCCCCAGCAGACAGGAAACTGCTTTTGACAATAAATGAATCAGCTAGAAGTTTATAAACCAGCAGCCAACAGCTGATTCTTCATGCTTTCCAATCAGTAGTGCTTAAAAAACAAACAAACAAACAAACAAAAAACAAAAACAACCCGATGTATCCCTTCCTAAAGAATTAAAACCCATCAGCACGAGAAACCAAACCAAACCCATAAAGGCTAATGAAGGTTAACAGGGTAAACTACTAAACTGATTTTGACAAGGAAATAAGGGCGGTCAGCAGGGCCCAATGGTCAAACTTGCACCTAAACTCCTCAAAGTGACACATATTATGCAGACTCTGACACTTGTCAATTCACATAACTTGAAAGAAAGAAAATGGGGAGCACAACAACAGTAATAATTTGGCTTAATTATGTGTTTCCAATGTTCAAAAAAATAATGTACCAGCTTCTTCAGGCTGTATGGTATACATATACCCAAACATATTCTCTTCAAGCATATTCAGTATTTTGAGTAACATAAAAGTATAATTTATCCTTGATCCTAACAATATAAGGCTCCTATTAACAGCACTAAAAGCAGGAAGATGTTTAAGTTTTTAGAGCTTAAATTACAGTTTTAAACGACACATTTACTAAGTAGGATATAAAACATTTAAAGTTCATAGCTTACAACCATAAACAACTCATCCTTATTTATAAATTATATAAAATTTACTTTCAAGCCTCTTAAGATCAGATGCCTATAGTTATCAATAACCTAAAATAAGCATAAATGTGAAACTAAGAACAAAAGTGTATTTACCACAATTATTCCCAACAAGGTTTGAGAGATTTCAAGTGCGCCTCTTACCACAATCGCATGAGGAGAATGCACTAAAGGCTTTAGTTCATTCAGGTCATTTTCTGCCTGCAAAAATTGGCATAAAAGAAAAACAAAACTGTCACAACATTTCCACCAAACGCTTAATTTTAGCAGCAGTCACACAGCTCTATGTGCCCTACGTTACCTTATCCCAGTCTCCTTCCATGACATGATTTCGGAATTTGGTAGCAGAAGGATGTTCTAAACGACATCCTGACTCTTGCATGAGGAGATCAACAGTCTGGCTGCAGGAGAGATACAGTGTAAAAAAGACCTGACCAACTTTAGGGATCCATGCTTTAACTAGTATCTACAACTTCATGAAGAGGAAAAAAAAAAAGCTTTGAAACACTTGGTTAAGTAAACGATTTCAAATGCCACCTACATTTAAAGTTGAAAACCTTTCTTGAAACCATAATGAAATTCTTCCTACTTCTGACATCTAATGTTTCAGAAGTTTAAAGGAGTACACAATTTCTAAAAATGTTCTCTAACCAACTGGTCAAATAAAAAGTAGGATCCAGAAACTCTCTATGGCACTGCATTTCAAAGGATAAAATGCAAGGTGACAAATGGCCTGTGTTAGGTAGAGCTTTCCTTCCAGATATTTTGCTTGTATGGAAATTCTGCTAGGTCAATCTTTAAAATTAAAACAAATCTAGCATCAGAAACCATTTCCTTTCTCTCCACACTAAAAATAGCCAATTTACTATGGTGTAGATTCCAAACAGTCACGGGTTATTTCCGCCTGCTGCTGTCAGCTTGCTGCTTCCCTCAGTAATATGTTGTTAGCATTCACGAGATTTATTTTCACGCTTACCCTTTTCCTTTAGGGAATAAAGTGAAACCTTTCTATATTTTTCTTTGGGAGCTTACTCATCAAACGAGGTTTCATTTACCAGATATTTTGGCATCTAAGAACCTTCATTCAGCAGTCGTGTGTTTGTGTTCATGGCTTTACTTATGCGGTTTTTTTTTTTTTAGTGCTCCTCATTTTTCAGCTCAACAGTGCAATGCTCAGCTTGAGAATTAAAATACTTCTGTCCCTCTGAGTAAGAGCAGTTCTCCCCATTTTCCAAGTACACGCGCGCGTGCACACACACCCAACAACAACAATCCCAGCACTTCAGCCTAAGAGTTTATTTTAAATTTCGCTTTGGGGCTAGGAAACTGCTGTGTTTACTCCCATCAGCTCCTTCTGGCTCTGGCCCTTCATTCAGCTCCAGGACACTCCCACCAACCCTACTTCAACTCCCTTAGTTTTTCTCTGTGTGTACAAAACAGTGAGTTTTGATTAAACCCGCTGCCTACCTTCACCCAAAGTTAAAGGCCACCCAAACTGTGTTTGAAAACAAATGATTCACCAGACCAGACATCACGTTTTCACAGGCAATCGTCTTGGTTTTGAAGTGTGATTTCACTAGTGCTAGGCCTTTAGTACACACACAGCCTCGACGTGACTTCAACTCCTATCTTTCTTCATTATTCCCATCAGATTTACTTTGACAGCCTCTTTCCAAATTACCCCAGCCCCTTAGTTCCCATAAACACTTGTAGGCGACTGTCCTTCCTGATTGGTACTTTGCCTGGGCTGTTGTCGGTCATGGGTGGGGGTGGGGAGGTGTCCCACAAAGATGCCTCTGAGACACACTTGAAAAACAAATCCTCCAAGGTTCATTATTTCCACCGCTCTGATCCACCCCTCCCCCAGCATAAACACCCTCGGTGTCCGCCTCCTCGGACCGACGACCTAGCTCTGGAGGTGCGAGGGGAGGGGTCGCTCTGGCCTTCCACCACCCTTCCCCAGCCCAGACGGTCCGGCTGGTCTCACGACACCAAGCCGATTCGTTTCCCTCGACCTCCCTTCCGTTCCTGCCGGGGCTGTCTGTCCGCGGCCTCCTGCGCACTGGGCCCCGGGGCCCCCCACAACCCTCCCGGCGGCTCGGCCCCAGCCTGGCCCTCACTGGTTGTCGGACGGACACTTACTTGAGCCCTAAGCCATTGAGGTGCTGTCCTATGAGTCTAATGACATCCTCATCCGATTGCGAGAGCCGCTTCTTCTTCTTGAGGCTGCTGCCCAGCTCGGGGGTGGCCAGGGCGGCGGCGGTGGCGGAGGCCGCGGCGGCCCCGCCGGGAACCCCGTTATTGACACTCAGGCTGTTGCTATTGTTGCCAGCGGCGGAGGGGGCGGCAGGCAGGAGCCCGTTGGCGTGGGCCAGGTCCCCCGCGGACGCCGCCGAGGGGGACGACTCCCCGTTCTGCGCCGACAGGCAGGCGAGCTCCGGGGTCTGGCCCTGGCCCCCGCCGCCCCCGCCGCCGCCTCCTCCCGCCCCGTTGGCCTGCATGCTGCCGCCGCTGACCAGGCTGTGGCCGCTGCTCCGCTGAGGGGCGGCGGGGGCGGCCGGAGGCAGTCCCACCACCACCACCACGGAGGAGGAGGCGGCGGCCGGCGAGGGCGAGGGCGGGGGGGGGAGGCCTGCTCGGCCGGCCGAGGCCCCGGGCTCTCCTGCTCCCTCCGCCGCCGAGGCTCGGGGCTTCTTCCGCGGGGGCGGGGAGGCTCCGCCGGCGTCCGAGTCGGAGGAGGAGGAAGCGGAGGCCAGAGTTTCCTCGCCGAGAGAGGCCGTGGTGGGAGGCCGGCGGGGCGCGGCGGGGGTCGGTGGGGCGGGAGGAGGGGGAGAAGGAGGACCGGGCCCTTCCCCCCCCCTCCGGAGGCGCTCGCGGCTCGGCCCGGGGACTCGCGGGCACTGGGGGGCGCAGGCCCGAAGCTGGAACCCCGGCGGCGGCGGCGAAGGCGGTGAAGGAGGCAGCAACCGCCTCGGTGCTCGGTCCGTGCCGCTCCGCTCCCTGGTGTGTTGATTCTTCCCCCAGCTGCTGCCTAATGGAGTCCGGGCGCTGGCGTCACAGGAAATGCCTATACTGCCCTCCTCGCTCACTTCCGGCAGCAGGTATGGAACCTATAGGGGGCTGTCACCCAGCACGTGTGTGTCCGGCAGCCGGGGTAAGGCCGTGGGGGTAAAGGCGAGGGCCGCCGGGGGTCCGGCCCCGGGTGGATGTGACCCAGCACGACCTGGCCCGGTTGTGCGAGGGCCGCCCTGTTGCCCGGGCCTGGCGTGCGAGCTCGGCCCACAGAGAGTTCGCAGCCTACCTCTGAGGCCCTGCGGGGTGGGAGGTAGAGTTTGTGTCCCCGCCGCGCACCCGGAGTGACCCCGAGAGGAGCGACCAGCTGGCCTGGAGGGGACCGCAGACGCACTGGCACGGGCCAGGGTGTGGCCGGCCGGCGGCCTGCTTTTGCAGCTGCAACTTCAAGCACAAGGGTGTGCTAGGCCCCTGTCCACGGGCTTCAGGCTCGGCACCCAGGATTAACCACTGCCTCGTTTTAGGGCGGAAACACTTGAACTTCCCCCAGCCAAGCACTACCCACACTTGTACCCGTGTCACCAAAGGACAGGGGAGGTGACGAGCCGAGGAGACCGTGCTCCACCCCGAGAAGGCGAAGTCGTCTGTCACTGCCTGTCTGGTGGGGCAAGAAGTTACAAAGACTGAGGGTGTGTAGAGGAATGGAGGCACTTTGCTGGGGAGTTTTATGTTTTTGTTCTGTTTTTCTTTTAAGTGTTCACTCAAATGCCTTAGTCCTGGGTCCTGCTCCTTCTCAGACAGGGAGGATTCAGGCATTGATGCAGATCCTGGTGTTTTACTGTTCCAGTGCTGTATGCGGCTTTCTTGGTTGGAGAAATACAGCAGCAGAGAACTGAGCTGAATGGTCCGCAGGACCATCTCATCAGTAACATGTATATGGGTGGTGGCCTGTAGACCTGCTACGTACAGATGTTTTTTCTGAAGTTTAGGAAATCCTTGATGACTTCCCTTTGGGAGGAAAAAAAAAACCAGCCTCGAGCAATACATCCTATGTCCCTAAAATTTACAACACTCACAGCGCGGTAATTTTGAGACCTTTGGAAGCAGCCCTTTTCAATTTACAAGTGCAATAAAAATTATCCTATGATTTGTCAAGAATCCTGAGCTCTATTCATCCCGAGACAGAGAAGAGAGACAGGAAGCTACGAGGGCCGAGTCTTCCAGTGTTTCTGACGCTTTAAATATGCTTTCAGGTGTCAGCCGTAATTGCAAGGTGACTCATACCGCGTTTGTATTCACCTGAGACAGACCTTCCTTCTAGCTGAGGTTCAGAGGGCAAATTTATATCCAGCAGAGCCAGAATTTTTAGGTAGTTGATGCCTTCACAGAGTCTTGTACAGTACCTTCAGAAATCTCATTACTATATAGGTTGTTTTTAGGCAAATTTGTGTTGTGCCAAATGGTTTATAGTAATCTAATAGCAATCATGAAGATGGATCAGGTCTGCAGCCTAGTTTAAATAAAGTCTATACCTTTTATAACGAGAAGAACCATTTAACAACAGATCAGGCGACACTCAGTAACAAAAGGAACAGGATGAAAGGAACAATGAATAGGATCTCATTGCCACCGACACTCAATATGTATATCTCGGCTTTTCTTCCTTTTGGGGAACCAAAACTGCTAAAAATGTTTGAATTTCTGAAGTTCATATATATGTACACATTTTTATTTATAGTAAAACAGAGGTTGGGAGCATGTTGTCTAAACTCTGGGCCTTGCTCCACTTACCCATGAATAATTTTGGAATACTATTCTGCACATTCACAAACCTTGAGAAACATCGTGTTACCCACAGGGTTTAAAGATCTATGCTTTCCATAGATGGCTGCGGTCTCATCTCAGTCTTTCTCTTTGGCCAACTCTCTTCTTAAAAGCTTCTTATTTTTATCTTATTTTTAGTTACCTCATAAATTATGTGCTACATATTGTACACTGTGCATATTATTTATGGAAAGGTTTTATCTCTTGCCATCTCTGTGAACCCTTCTTCACTGTCACTGAATGTGCTGGCCTTGTTTTTTCTGAAGACCTCCCGTCTTCTCTGGCAGTCTGATTGTATGGAGCTTCTCTGTCAGACTCAGCTCCTTTTGAGCCTCCTTAGTGGAGCAGTTCCTGGCTTCCAGCCTTTACTGTGAGTATGACCTGTTGGTTTTCCCCAATACTGAAGAGTGCGTATAGTCTCATTCATTGACACTCCTTGAGGTCACTGAGGAGACCTTTTTGAGACCTCTTGTCTCCTGGCTTTCTCTTTCTATTCTCCTACAAAAGACTAAGCTGTGTCTAGGATTAAGTCCAAATTATCCCTCAGGAAAAATTTACATGTTTGTTTAGGTGCTTGATTAACTTCTGCACTATTGCATGGGACTCTATGTATGGTAAGTACCAAATGAAAGGTAACTTCTTGTCCTGTTTGTACTAAGCAGTGTTCTGTCTCTGTGCTTTGCTCCCGCCCCGGAAAGCAAGCAAAAGCTGTGAGGAGTGTCGCCCTGTAAGGGATGCTACAGAATCTGCCACACAGTAGGTTAGGGACTTAATTGACACTAAGGCCTTTCCAAGTCTTGAGGTTGTCGAGGGGCTGTGTATATTTGAGACTTCCAGCAAATACACGAATATTTCCAGGGAGGAACATGTGTGTACTCATCATTTCAGAAATCAATGTGCTGAGCCATAATTAGTGGGTTTTTTTAAAAAGTAAAGTAGAAAATTATACAAGCATAAATATTCAACTAAATCACCTGAGGTGAGGTGGTTATTTTGTGAACCTTTTGTTTCAGTGATGAATGCGTGTAAAATAAATGCATTTATTTTCTCAGAAAGGTTTGAGGGTTGGAGAGATGGCTCAGCAGAACACTTTGTGCTCTTGCCGAAGACCCAAGTTTGATTCCAAACACCCGAAGCATCTGTGACCCTAGTTCCAGGGGACCCAACAGGCATGTGCGTGATGCACATACATGCATGCAGACAAAACATTCATACACATTTAAAGGGAAAATAAGTAAATAAACCTAAAAAATGTTTTTCTGAAGAGTTTGAAAAATAGTCGATGGGTGGTGGTGTACACCTTTAATCCCAGCACTTAGTAGGCAGAGACAGGAGAATCTCTGTGAGTTTGATATCAGCTTGATCTGCATAGTGAGTTCCAGAACAGCCAGGATCCTGTTTGAAAAAACCAAAAGTATGAAAGAAAACAACAACAACAAACCCATCTGTATCAGTCCTGATTGGCCAGAAAGCAACCCAGGAAATAGAAATGACAAAGGACTGCTGTATTCCAAGGCAGCATGTCTCATTCTTAAATCTAAAGAAGATATAAAAACTTTGAAAGTTGAGATGGGTTGAATATGTAGGTATTTATAATAAGACACAAAAGTAAATTTTCACAGATGTTGGTAAAACTGGTAATAGTTACGTTTCTTTCAAGATTTAAATTTTGGAGTTGGAAGTAGAGAAACTTCTGTTTGGCGTACAGAAGCCTGGTCTAGGTCTAGCATAGAAATCCTGTCCCTGCCTCACCTTCCTGAGTGCAGGAATTCCAAGCACTCACCAGCACACACCTATAAAGTGGCAAGCTGGACTTGTTAGACTAGGGTAGGCTGGGGACAATCAGGAGTGAATGTGGGAGTGTCCTGGAGTCCAAAGACTTGACTTCGAGCCAGGTGGTGGTGGCGCACACCTTTAATCCCAGGCAGAGGCAGGCGGATCTCTGTGAGTTCAAGGCCAGCCTGGTCTAGAAGAGCTAGTTCCAGGACAGGAACCAAAAAGCTAGCTACAGAGAAACCCTGTCTCGAAAATCAAAATCAAAATAAAAAAAAAAAAAAACTTGACTTCACTGTCCCTCAGACACAATGTCATTGTTTTACATTTATTTTTATTTTATGTGTATAAGTGTTTTTGCTGCATGTATGTCTATGAGGGTGTCCGATCTCCTGGAACTGGAGTTACAGATAGTTATGAGCTGCCGTGTGGGTGCTGGGAATTGAACCTGAGTCCTCTCGAAGAGGACTCTTAACCACTGGGTCAACTCCTCAGCCCACAATTTCGTTTTTTTAAGTAAATAATAACCCCAATCAGTTTGTTGATGGAGTTGGTGGATGGGTGAATGAGATTGGAAAAAGCAGACAAACAAAGTTAAAATGTTTCAAGATAAATTTAAACCTCCCATCATTTAAGGATTTGAGGGCACTAAGTACAAAGATATCAGATCACTTTATTATTGACCTAAGGACTTGAGCCCCTTTCCTACCCAGTTCTGCTGTTCAGCCATGGTCGTGTGCAGCCACATGCAGGCCCTATGTCTGTCACACTTCCTGTCAGCCTTTGTGAGAGGAGGAGGGTCCAGTCACTAAGCCAGCTCATCCGCTGTCCCTACACTGCTCTCCGGCCCTTGCTTACGTTCCTCCTCTCTGCAAACCTCCGTCCATGCAGTGAGCAGTTAGTAAGCAGGGGCTGAGGACACCAGGAGTGTCAACCTGATTGGGGGCTCACAAGTGAACATGCATCCTCCTTTGTCCCAGAGAGAAGTAACCTTTTCCTCAGTAGTTGTCTCCAACAGAAATGTCTGGGGAAGTTTTCTGAAGTATATGAACTACACTAACAAGTACTTTCCCTACCACACAGCTCCAAGGGATGGCTTGGAGTATTTTATAATTACTACTCCATCCTTGTGGGTTTATGTGAGTTCGAGGCCAGCCTGGTCTACAGAGCAAGTTCCAGGACAGCCAGGGCTACACAGGGAAACTGTTTCGAAAAAACAACAAACAAACAAAATCCAAAGCCTAACAACTAGCTTTTTTAAAAGAGTACTCAAAAACAATCAGAATATGAGAAGTTAGTCCTAATAAAAACATGACAGATAAAGCAGTGTTGTGTATTCTATATTTGTTTTAAGAATCTCCTCTCCATAACCTGACTCTCCTATATCCTCAGGCTGCTGTCTCCCAAATACACACTGTCATGGACACACACTTTGTCACACAAACACACTCCATCACATACATACCATCACATGTGGCTAAATTCATCCTGGGGATAAAGAGCAGAAGGACATTTCTATTTATTAATTTGAGAAGTAGATAATAATTAATAGCCCTGGGAGTCCCCTCATAGATTCTTAGGCAACAGCCCCTTTGGGCAGCCTTCCTTACTCACAGTTCAGATGTATTCTTTATCTCTCTGGCATTATCACAACTCATAATAATCATGGGATAATTATAACTTAAATTCTGGTTATTAAAAATATACACAGTTTGTATAGAGATACTAGACTAGTAGATGTATAAAATTGAAAATTTTTGAAGTAGTTGTTTATAAAGTTTTTAAGAGTTGGATGGTGTGGTGGTGGTGCACACCTTTAATCCCAGCACTCGGGAGGCAGAGGCAGGAGGGTCTCTGTGAGAGACTAGCTTGGTCTGCGTCATTCTAGACTACCCAAGGCTACCTAGTGAGACCTATCTCAAAAAAAAAAAAACCATTGAAAGAATATCTAGACTTTCTGGTTCATTATTTTTATTTTAAAATTGTGTAAGGGTCTGGGGGGATGGCTCAGCAGTTTAGAGCACTTGTTCTTACAAAGGAACCTGCTCCCATTCCCAGCACCCATGTGGTGGTTCACAGCTATCTGTAACTGTGGTTCCTGGGGATCTGAGTTCCTTTTCTGAAGTCTGAGGCTACCAGGCATACATATATGCAGCAAAACATTCACACATATGAGATAAATAAGTTTTAATAGTGTAAGATGGTTGTGGAGCTGTAAGTCAGTGGTCCAGCATGTATGAGGCCTTGAGTTCAATCCCAGCACCAAATAAAATGTTAGAACCGTGCTCTTCAATATTAAGTGTGCTCTTTAATAATGTTAAACATATAGGCAAATGTGAAATGGAATAGGCTAAATTTAAAAAGATAGTTTGTTGAATGAAAGGCCATCGAGCCATTTCTGTGACCCTGGTCTTAGCATTTGGGAGCTGGAGGCAGAGAGGGTGAGAGACTAAGAGTCATCCTCAGCTGCAGAATGAGAATCCCTGCATGAGACATAGTTCTGAGTGGTTTGCATGGGTTTCCTATCTTAATCTTCTTGGGTCTTTTTTTAATAGAGGAGA